GGGGCCGCGCGCACCTCGGCCTCACCGGCGCCGCTCCTCGCAGTCTCACCGGTCCGCCGGGTCGCGCGGCGTGAGCTTCCCGGGCCGCTCGGGATGCTGTCCGCTCGCACGCCGCCGGCCGCCCCTGCCCTGGCCTGCCAGGCCATGCCCCACTGTTTACGGGCCGGCAAAGCTCCCAGCTGCTTTGAGCTTTTCGGGGACCCGGCGCCCAGAGAGTGAACCCAGCGGGCCCGCGAACACTGGACTGACTAGTCGCGCAGACCCGAGGCTCCAGACTCAGATCTGTGCCCGTTCCGCCTCCGCCACCATCTGGGTGGAAGCCGGCTCTGGTGTTTTTGGGGAGGGGGGTGTGGTGTAGGGAAAGGAATCCTGGGGATTTCTGGCACCCCCTTGCCAGGTTTTTTTTTTTTTTTTTTTTTTTTGCCTTTGGGGCTTAAGACTCAGGGAACTCGCTCATGGCTTTCTTGATGAAGAAGAAGAAATTCAAATTCCAAACCACTTTCACCCTGGAGGAGCTGACCGCGGTCCCCTTCGTGAACGGGGTCCTCTTCTGCAAGGTCCGGCTGCTGGATGGTGGAGATTTTGTCAGTTTGTCGTCAAGGTAGGAGTTGGGACGTTGCCTACCTGCAGGGAAAGGGGGTGACAAGGTCTAACTGCATGGCAGTGTGCGGTTCTTCCCTGGGATTTAGGGTCCCAGGGGATCTGTGTGTCAAGGATAGGTTTGTGCAAGGCAGGACAGGGCCTGGATGAGCTGGCACGGTGCTAGGCACCTGTTTGCAGGTGACCAGGTAGATTCCTGGGAGTCAGTTTTGCAGCTGCCTTTTGGAGCTCTGCGTGCAGCCCACAGTAGGACTGTCTTGCAGATTATATTATAGAAAGAGCAGTGGAGTTTGGCTTTGAGGGAGCAGAGAAGGGGTGTCTCAAATCACCTTGCACCCTGGCTGCACCTGGAGCTGGCTTTCCCAGGTGGCTGCAAAAGGCCCTGTCCCAGGCCCTCGGGGGTCTAGCTGGAGATGGTGGCTGGGTTTTGGCCTGCCCATCCCCCTCTGAGCGACTGTCCCCTGGCAGTGCTGGACTGCTTTGCATTGCAAATGCCCTTGTCTGGAAGCTGCTGCCCTCTCTGTAGACTGAGTTTGGTTTTGTGTTGATCTCCATCAGGCAGGCTGAAGGTGACTGAGCTCCCAGGCTGGCCGTCATTCAGTAGGCCCATCTGGGGTCACAACCCTGGCTTGCCTGGAGTGATCCTTGGAGGCAGATGGATGGGCATTTGGATCATGGCTCTTTCTGAGCTGTTTTTCTGTGAGTTATGGAGCGTTTTTTCAGTAGAGAATGCTTTGCAGGGCCTGGTGTGAGCTGACACCCCCCACCCCCGCCTTTTGCTCCTTAGGCCTTGTGGGGTCAGTGAACAGGAACTGCCCATTTCTGAGATGGAGAAACTGAGGCCCAAGAAAGAGGAAGTGAGTGGCTTGTCAGGGACCTCAGAGGAGGTGGTGATGAGCAGAATTTTGCCTGTTGGGAAACCTGTTGGATGAATTGGAGAATGAATACTCTGCAGAGAAGAGGGGAGCTGCACAGCCTTTTGGTGTTGGGGGGGGCTTTTTCATGCCCTGGTTCTCTGGTCTGCTGGGAGCTGCTTAGAGCTTATGGAGGGTGGGGGATGGGGATATCTATGGTTGTTCACTGTGCTCAGAGCTGGGGCTTGGAATTGGCCAGGTACTGGCTGGGGGATTATTGTTGTTACCTAATCTCTCTGATCTCAATAGTCAGGAGTTGTTGGTCTCAACCCCTTGACTGACATGGAGCCAGGTAGAGGTGGGGTCCCTGTGGACCGGTGAGAACTGAGACTCTGTGATTTTCCTGAGTTAATACAGCAAAACCTAGTTTCCAACTTAGGATGTGCTTTTAATCACCACCTTGTAGTGTTTCCAGCCTCAGTTTCCCCTTGTAAAATGAAGAAGTGAGACCCACTCTCTTCAGGTTGCTAGGGGAATGGGTAATCTGCATACCATGTACTGCTCAGGCACATTATTGCTGTACTTGTTACTATAGGCCAAGATGCTCAGGCTCGAGCCCCTCTGGGTCTTAGGGGGACCCTTCCACCTTCCATAGATCATCAGTGCCCTTGAGTCCCACCAAGGAATTGACATTGAACCAAAATCTGAGGTCTCACCTGGCCTCCCAGGCCTGTGACCTGTCATCCTACCCATCAGCCTCTCCATGGCTCTAAACCTGCCCTCTCATTCAGGAAAGTCTGGAAAGTTCCAGGTCTTAGCCCGTATGATCTAGATTCCATGTCTGCTTTCTTTTTCCCCTCTGGCAAGGGGCCTCTGATTTCCCAAGCCCAGCTTAGCCCAGACAGCCTTTCCCAGGCCTCAGCCTGCATGAAACCTGAGTGGGACTGCGCAGGGAGGAACTGACATTAAGGCCCCCCAAGGCTGGGCACTTAGTGCAGTGCTTGTTGGGCACCCATTTGCTGCTGGCAGGTGTGTCTACAGAGAACTTGCGGCCAGTTCAGAGCTGCCGTGGCTTTTGAACAGGAGTTGAGGTTCCCGAGTTCCTGCTCCCTCCACCTACACCCCACCCACACTGATTGGTAGCCCAGGAGCCCCACCTTGAAGCCCACTGCTCCAGGCTGCCATGGCTTCATTGTTTATAAGTTAGGGTAGGGTCTGGAGTGAGTGGACCTAATCTTTAGGGTCTCAGCCCAGATCCAGTAGCAATTTTCCCAAACCCAGGGACCTCTGAAATGGCTCAGACTTGGTGCTGGCACCTCAGAGTGAGGCGGCTGAGGCCCCACCCTTGCAGCATCCACCCTCCTAGCTGGAGTGTGTTTCCCTGTGTTGGGTGCCATGGCAACAGCTGGGTACACAGCTCTCCCTGACCCAGTTTGAGCAGGTAGAGCAGGTGGTGCATTGGGCTGTTCCTCAGCCTCATCTTCGTCACACCGCCTTACGGGCAGTACTTCTCACAGCCCCTGTGTTCTGAGCACCCGTGTTGTGTGCCAAGCACTGTGCTGAGTGTTTTGCAAATGGTACTGCCATGAGTCCTCTCAGACTTATCTGAAGAGGCACCTAAGGCAGAGAGATGAAGGCACATGCTAGAAGCCACTGGGTGGTAAATGGCAATTGGGAAGATATTTTTTCTTTGATTATGGTTCAAACTGGCTTTGCATGTGCATTTGCTGTATGACTGTATTTGCTGTATGGGGACTTGTTGAGTACCTCTGATGCGTGCCATATTGAGTCCCCCACAACCTCCCATGAGCTGAGGATATTGTCTCCATTTACAAGTGAGGACAGTAGGTTCAGGAGAGTTGAAGTGGTTGGGCCGGGTGTGTCACTCAGCTACGGAGCAGCAAAGAGAAGACCTGAATTTGAGCGGGTCAGAAGCAGCTGTGGCACTTCTGCGTGGCATGCCCAGGCCTTTGAAAAAGGCTCCTTTCGGTGAGTTGGGTGGCACAGGAAAATGCAGAGTTGGATAGTTGGGGCCCCAGGATAAAGAATCTCAGGACCATAAGGTAGGAGTGGAGTTGAAGTCACTGCTAAATGGACTAGCACTGGAGCACAGTGGCATTTGCCAGGGTGCCTAGAGAGACTTTCCAGAAGGATGGATCCAGATGGCATCTGGGAGGTTTCCAGGGGCAAGGCCATCCCAGGAGGGATACAGAATCTTAGCCCAGTCTGGTGAGTTGGGAGGTATCCAACTTGTCCAAGGCTGCCTTTAGGCAAGATAATCCCAAGTGTCCCAGGGCTCTGTTCGCAGTGGTACTGGTCCTTCCTATTGCCCCATGCATGTGGCTGGTGGTACCAGGGGAGGGAATTCAAGGGAGGTGCTTATTATGTCACAACAAAGGGGAGAAGAGAGAGCATCTCTTCAGCTGACAGGGAGATTGAGGCTTGGGACAGAGAAGTGACTCGCTTTGATTACTTGCAGGAGGAGCAAATGGCATAGCCAGTTGGACTGCAGTCTGGCCCTGACCTCTGCCATGTACCTCAGTACCCTTCTCTGCACAAAGAAGATAGGCTAGGCTAGGAGGGAAAGGTTGCTGCAGGAGCTCTGTCAGCTCTAAATCTGTGCGTCTGGCTGTCCGAAAAGCAGCCTGAGACTTGAGAGTCTGCTTCCCCGTCTCTTCTTCTCCAGCAGCTGGAGTCCTCTTGGCCTTCAGTGGGCTTTATTTGGGCAGATTATTGAAGCAGCACCTGGGTGCTCACCACACAGGCACTGCCTGCTTTCTGTGGGCATGGACTGGGGCCCGCCTAAATGGGAAGCCCCGGAGGGCCACTGCCTTGGACAGGTCAGCCGTACAGCTTGGACAGGAGGCTGTGTGCCCAGGCCTCGTCCCTGGGGAGCCCAGGCCATCTGGTCTTTCCTCACATACACTGGTCAGGGTTGTGCTTCCACTGTTCCTTGTCCGCCCTCCTTGGAAGAGGCTGCAGAGTGCTGCTTGGGACTTCTGCCATCTTGAGGCCTGCTCTTAGGAATAAGTTGGTATGGAGCAGTAGGGAGGCAGAGTGGAAGTGCTTACCCAGATAGCCAGTTCTGGCCCCAGGGAGTATGGGGAGCAGGAGTGGGTGGGGGTGCAGGGGCTCAGAGCTAGGGTCCCCATTTCACTCTGACCAAGTACCCATTGGTTTTGGGCTTCCGCAGATGAACGGAACAAACTTCCCTGTTCCCTGGTGGGCATCATGAGAATTCTGGAGCCAGCTGGATGTCGAATGGGTGCTTATGGATCCCACTAGACCCTGACAGACCAGCAGGAGGCACTTCTGCTCAGGCCCCTGGCCACTTGTCCAGTTTGGGCACAGGCCTTGCCGTCATGGGGTTCAGTGTCTCTTGATGAGATGCTAGCAGGGAGGGCTTTCCTGAGGAAGGAACAGTTGTGAGAGCCTTCACAGTGGAGGGGTTGTGCTAGAAGTAGGGCCAAGTCTTTAGAGTAGAGGCCCCTGGGTGGAAGCGCTTAATTGTTCTTGGAATAAGCAAGATGGACAGTGATGACCCAGAACGTTTCCTGGACTTGTGAGCCGTGGGAGGGTCAGGGGAACAGGTAGAGAAGGTACAAGGGGGCATGAGCCACCCCTGGTGAGAGTCAGTTGGAGTTGGCCTACAGGCAGTTCTGGCCTGGCCTGGCCTGGCCCTGGCTGGGTGGTGGCAGGCAGAGGGAGAAGGACAGATTAGAGAGGGTGGCAGGAGGAGTGGTCAGGTGGGGTATTTGTCCTGAAGGCCTGATCCTGCCCCTGTTGCTTGGAGTTGCTGGAAGATGGACATTCAGAAAGTGTAAAATGGCCAAATGTAGCTGGGATTTTGTCAGCTCGTGCTGTGCTCCATAGTTACTGATCCACACAAAAATCTGGACCTTCAGTTTCTTTTAAGTTGGAAGATATGACAGCAGCACTGCATGGCAGTGTTTGGCTCAAGGGGATTTGTAGCTTCTTCAGCATGAGCTGTCTGTCTGGGCTCCTCCTGAGCCCAGGGTACATCCTTGGTCCCTGGTGTGGACCCTGTGGAACGTCTTCCATATGCGGCCAGAGGGGCCCATGAGAAGTCCTCTGGCAGGGAGGTCAGGAGGCCTCGGGCCAGTTTGGGTAGTAGGGCTGTGGTACC